CAACGCCTCCAGAATGTCTGCTGCAGTTGAGTGACCCGCTGCCAACCATCCAGACCAGTGATGGGCACGAAATCTAACGGAAAGAGCCAGACGTAAAAAACAAAAAAAAAACAACCCCCGTCGCGACGCTTCGCAGTTATGAGCTAGACAGAATGGGCGAGCAAAGTGAATACACTTTGTTGTTGCTCTGATTTTCATGTGCGTAGCCCAAGACACATGATGTGTTGTTGCAATCTCGAGATCGCGCCTTCGAAGTATTTTTGCGGTCTCTTTTACGCCAAATTTCTGTGGCATCGTTTTTGTAAAAATTCACGGATCGCTGAACTCGAGCGACGATCGTCTGAGCCGACTTGTTGGCGCCCCCCGAAAAACATTTTGGAAAGAGCCGCAGACGATTGTAATTGAGCTTCGTTAGGTCAGGCTCGAGAATTGTCTCATGCGGGCCTCCCAGATGCAGATGAGCAGGCGTCAACACACCTGAGCGTGTCAGCCAAACAGGATTCATGGACTTCCTTCATGTGCGAGTCGCTCAGGTAAAGCTTCTTCAGCTCCAGAAGCTCATTCTTAGCGCCAACGAAATTTGTCGCATTGTCCGACCAAATTTGACTTGGCCTTCCTCGAGTGGACGTGAAACGTTTCAATGCGCCTAGGAGCGACGCGGTAGTCAGATCCCTAACAAGCTCCATGTGTATGGCCATAGATGTGAAGCAAATAAACACGCTTAGCACTTGATCGGAGGCCTCGTGCGGATTTCTGATCGGTAGAAAAAGGGTCCACAATAGTTCACTCCAGTTACTTCGAAGGCCCGCGATCCTTCTAGACGCTCCTTAGGCAAGTCTCCCATAATGTGCTCAACCATGCGCGGCCTCGTCCTGAAGCATTTCACACACTTGCTAACCACTTTCGAGACGGCTTTGCTTCCTCCAATAGGCCAATATTCTAATCGAATTTTAGCAAGCAAGGCGCGAGGTCCGGCATGGAGGTTCGTTGATGATAATAGCTTATTGCAGACGTTACGGGATGTCCCTTGGGGAAAATAAGCGGGTGCTGAGAAATAAATGTGAGCGATGAGTTGCCGAGACGACCTTCAACTCGAAGTAAACCAGACGGATCGATGAACGGAGATAGCGAACTGATGGAGCTAGACTTCGTGACTTGCCCATTGCGTCCTTTATGTCCGACCACAAACTTGCCAGCTGAACGTGACGAACAAGAAGAAGCGTTCCTTGCTGAATGTCAGAAACCGTGAGTCCAGGATGCCTAAGACGATGAACGAATTTATGCATGTAGGCGAATGTGCGCTGCATGCCAAAGAAAGAGTTTGCAAATTTGCATCCAGACGTGAGATCGGCATGTGGAGACGCGATCAGCAATACACGTTTGAGAAGTTCAATGGTCGGAGTTTCAGAAACGGGAGATACAGGCGACTCATCCTTAGAACCTAACAAAAACGAGGGGCCGTGAAACCAGCTCTGATTGGATGAGGTGGCTGGGAAGCCAGATTCTGGAGAGGATATCAGCGGGATTCAACGATGTGGGAACATAGCGCCATTCCATGCCTTGCGTCAACTCCTGAATTGTTGCCACTCGATTTGCCACGAAAACCTGAAATTTGGCTGGCTCATCCCGAATCCAAGATAACCCCGTAGACGAATCCGACCAGCAGTAAAACTGACCTGGGAAGATTCCCGTCTCCTTTAAGTTGCGCATAACCTTCGCAACCAAATGGGCTCCACTCAATTCCAGCTTTGGAATCGAAAATGATTTTAGTGGCGCCACTCGAGACTTTGAGCACTAAACATTGCTAGACCACTCCCCTTGCCTGGACACGACATATATGTGAGCACCATATGCTCCCATGCTGGCATCACAAAATCCATGAACCTCTACAGTTGTGCTGGAATGATGGACAACGCGAGAAAATGAAATCCAAGTTGAGTGCAGCGCTGTTGGTAGGCTTTCATCCCAGTCCAAATGTTCTCTCCAAAGCTGCTGAAGAAAGATCTTGCACCTAACAATAACAGGATTTAAAAATCTAAGAGGGTCGTAGAAACGCGCAATAGTTGATAAAACAGACCGCTTGGAGGGCCTTGAATTCGTGTCCAGCGCGGACAGGGCAAACAGCAGCTGATCCGACGCAGGGTCCCAAGCTAAATTTCTCCACGTCGTCTTCTGGAATTCCATCAAGCAGTACTCGAGCACCATTTTCTAAGCTTGAAGTTACCGGAAGACAGTAGACTTGAAGTTTGGCGCATCTTTTCCATGACCTCTGCGACCGAGTTGCCGCCAGAGATGAGATCATCAATATAGAACTCCTGTTGCAGAGCAGCTGAGCCAAGAGGGTAGGGATTACCCGAATCGATGGCCAGCTGGTGCATTGCGCGGACAGCTAAAAACGATGCAGCCCTCGTACCGTATGTGACGGTGTCTAATGTGTAGACCTGAACCTCGGACTGGATGGAATGTAGCCATAGGATACACTGTAGAAAATTGTCAGGTGGAGATATCTTTACGTAGCGGTACATTTTACAAATGTCACAGTGAGAGCGACGGGATATGTGCGGAGCCGGATCAATATGTTAAACAATTCAGGCTGAATAACAGGACCTGTCATCATCACATCATTTAAAGAGCATCCAGTTGATGTAGCTGCAGAGCCATCGAAAACGACACGGAGTTTTTTCGTGGTACTATCCTCCTTTAAAACGCAGTGATGAGGCAGAAAATACTTGCAGAGGCTACGTGAGTCAGGATGGACTTCGGACATATGCTTTAAGTCAGTATACTCTTTCATAATAGCTGAGTAACGCTTCTTGAGCGTGGGACTACGATCCAGTTTTCGCTCCAAACTGAGAAATCGTCGACACGCCTGAGTATAAGACTCTCCCAAGCGATCAGCATCACGGAGTACTCCTCTGATGGCAAACGGGAAAAGTGGCTTACGAAATGCACCTCACAATCTACTTCTTACTTTGTACTCAAATTAGTCTCCACACAATTCTCGACTTCCCAAAACATACGAAGAGTTCGATCCAACCTTGCATTCACTCTAGCCTTCGAATCCGGAGAATTTAGCGTTGCCGAAAAGCGACAAGCTTGATACCCTCTGTCCACCACCAGATATGATCCACCCAAGCCGGGTCTTCTGCAGAGGAGTCAATCCATCTATGAGCTTGATTTGCCATACTCAGAGAAGGTCATAGAATATGCTCGCGCCAATGAGATCTACTCGCTGAGGATTAAAGAATGCAGGATCGGCAAGCTGAATATTGGAGGGAATATTCCAATCGGCTACATTAACTGCCAGACTTGGTTGGCTATCTGTGATTGTGGGTGCGATGAGAGCAGTGAGTGTGTTCGAATAGTCCGAAGTGCGAGACTGCATGCAAATGCTGACGGTGGATCCCTCAGTGGACACGCTAGTATCGCCCAGACCAGAAACAAGGGCAGACGATTGAGTTCTCCTAAGCTGAAGCTGCTGAGCGACCCTGGATATAACGAGATGAAGCTGGGATCCTGAATCTAGAATGGCGCGACAGGAAACCAAAGCGCCAGATCGATTTTTCACAAAAACAACAGCTGTAGCCTACAGCACAACATCGGAGTGGAGACCTTGGGCAGCAAGAGAGGTAGCCGCATGAGACGGCACACTGCTAGCAGAATCCTGATCCGGCGTAATAGCTCCTGGTTGTACTGCTCGTTCTGGAGGAGAAACAGCTGGGAAGCTTTGCGCTATGGATGAGTCGAAGTGCAATAAGGTATGATGCCTCCTTCCGCAAACTCTACACTGGCCACCTGTACATGCACGAGTCCGATGACCCGATTTTAAGCAGTTAAAACAAAGTGACAGCTTCTTCACTTCCTTGAGGCGCAGAAACGGAGATATACTTCGGAAGATTCTGCACGAGTATATTCCGTGGCCCGCTGAATGACAGAAAGGGCATCTAGACGAGTCGGCGGAAGAGTTAGAGGCAACAAAGGTTTTCTTTAGATGTTTAGACTGGCTTTTTCCCACCTGAGCGCTACCAGCGTGTGTCGCTATAGCGTATAGCACGTTCTCCATCTTCTGGCATCGCTTCTCCAGCAAATCATAGAACTCCCCAGCTTTGGGTATCCTGTCCGATGACGCAGTCTATTCCCATTTGGTTTGGGTCTTCGCATCTAGTTTTTGCAGAAGCATGTGGATTATTATGCATCCCGATATCTCCTCAGCACTTCCTAATGTCTGCAGGGCACGCGTATGCAAGTTGACTGCGTCCGAAAACTCCCGAACTCTTTAGCAGAAGGCGAATCTTCCCTCTTGAGCCCAAGAATCTCCTTGATATGTGCCTGGAAAACAAGTCGTTTATTATTAAAACGTTTGCTAAGTATGTCCAGAGCCATACGATAATTGGCACTGGAGAGCTCCAACGATCGAACCGAATCCAATACAGGGCGTTGGAGGACATCCCTTTGAGACGAACGAGCAATTCATATTAAAAAAATTAAAAAAAACTTCATTGTTCTGACTTTTCCTGATTTTTTAAATATGTAAAAATGTTTTTAATAATTAGTTTTTCAGTAAGTAAGCGTTTGATGACAGAGTTTTATTGTCGAATTCGTATATTTTTCCTGTGAAAAGAGATTGTGACGTTCCACTGTTTTCATAAGCTTTTATAGTCTACATTTCTGAAATGCTGCAGAAAAAGAAATATTGTATATTAAAGCTTAAATAAATTCAAAATAAATAATAATAATAAATTATATAACCATCATATTTTTTAAAATTAGAAAAGCAATTCGAAATTCTGAGTACGCAGTTTTATTTGTGGTACAATGTTGCGAAGTTCAAACAAAAAATAGCAACAAATGTTTCCTTGTTTATTTTTAATGAATTAAGATGGGATGGCATGGAATCAGCTAGCGATTTAAGGCCGGATACATGCGATGGTATGTATGTATGTAAGAACGTTTGAATAGCATAAAAATGTCCCCAACACGCGTGGTCTTCTTCTTGCAACATAACAGTTTTAAAAACTTGTTTTTAATATCAAAAGTATACAAAATTTTAAAGAAAAGGTCCTTATGAGATAGCTAAAAAATTCAAACTGAAGCTGTTACGCGTCGATTCCCAACCGACCGATGAGCGCTGTATACGTATAACCGATCCGGTTACTAGATATGTATTTACAAGAATACATATGTTTGAATAATCCTCGGGGAAAATTTGACCTATTAGGCCTCGCGCACACTGTAGCTTATTGTTCTGTAGATATAACGTGATATAATGGTACTGTCCCAACTATGTAGACCTCTGGATTGGTATGATATTAACGAGAACGACACACACTGAAATAAAAACATTGTTAATATTTTTATCATATTCACTTTTAAGTAAATTACCAAACAGAATAAAATTACAAATTGCAAAGGTTATATTACAGTATGGCTGTAACATAAATCCCATTAAGTTTGTAGCTGCGATGATTCCAAGTCGTCCCAAGGACATGCAAAAGCTAACAGCTTTTCCACTATAATTTTTAAAATACAATACAATACAATACTTGTGTAGATTTGAATTTCTAAAAGTTCTGAAATACTATATTATTCTATAGCCTATCACTAGATTATGTTAGGTTTCACTGACATGTACATACATACATATGTATCTATTTGTATAAAAACAAGTGGTTACCGTAGATTAGTTGGGACCAGATCAACAATTGCACCGAGCATGATGGAAATCGAAAGTCCCGGCAAAAGTATGTAAAGGCAAAATAGTACAAGTACTGCCGTGCGGTTCCCAAAAAAATGAAGACAAATGCCAGAAAACGTTGCAATTATGAGCGCAGCTAGCAGTACGTTCTTACGGCCTAACGGGTTAATTAGAGTCCCTTGAATGGAAAATCCAATTAAAAAGGCGACTCCAACAATTATGTTGTCTATGTAAGTTTTGTTTGATATGTGATCTGAGCAGGCCTAAAATGATAAAATAAAGACCAAGTTTAAGAATGTATCCATATTTTTCTGGGGTAAAAATTGGTATGTACCAGTGTAAAATTTTCTGCTTTTGTATTGTACTCGCTTAATATTTCGCAAACAGTAGATGAGTCATTGAAGGCCTCAGATGACCGGTTTACGATTTCTGGAAACCAAAACTGCATACCATTTGAGCTGCAATAAAATACTATACGTAATAATAACTCCGAATGAAAGGATGGTTAGTTTATATCTGAAATATTTGATTTCACTTTACCTGAAAAACATCCCAAATACAGCGATGTTGCTTATTATAAAGTATAATCCATGGGGCTTATGAAATAGGGGAGCGGTTGCACGTGCAATTTTTGATAAAATACATCTGGGGATATTATCTATCGAATTCTCGTCAGATTCAACTTCCGATTTGAGCAGAAATACGTCACAATTTAGCAAATCCTGTATAGGTGTGCCTCGATTAAATTTACAAATCCAAGAAACAGCTTGTATTGCCTCGTTGGTTTTATTTTGCGATAATAAAAGCTTCGGGCTTTCTGGATAGCGTAATAATAGCAAGCCCCCCATTAATCCAGGTAGAAGACTTATCAGCATAATTAAACGCCATGGCCGAAAAACAAAATCGCCTAAGCTGAGCGACCAGTTAGACGACAGTACCATCCAAGCAGTCACTAAAGTTCAAGAAAATTAGAGAAAATACTCGTAGTTAAAACAGTTGGCATTTACATTTGCCATACATTTCTATATCCTTTCAGAAAAAAGTATTATTTTGTACACCAAAGATAACTTACACCCTTAGACCAGACGGAAGTTTTCCACTAAGTTGATAATTATGCTTATCTCTTTGCTGTAGACGGTACTATATTCAGCGGAACGTACATACATATGTATTTATATTTAAGATAAATAAACGTAATGTCTGCAAGAGTATCAGCAAGCCTTTCTTTATCCTTGTTCTTACCTGGAACATATATTGCAGTCACACTGACGAACATTGTCGAATAATTTATAGCAACTGCTCGATGTTTGGGTGTATTGAATTCACTTAAATATGCATATATTGCAGCTGAGACACCACCAATGCTATATGTGTGTAAAAGACATTAAACAAAATAATTTTATATTAAATTTTGCTAATTAACTGTAGTGCTTAGCTTAGTCTATAGACCAAAGTATGCGGGGACAGCTCATCAGAAAATTTTTATTTTCTTAGCGTTGATGTTAGTATGTAATTCTCTTAATGATTCATATAAAAAGTCCTTAAAGACTAAAGATAATGTAAGTCTTCAGAAACATTAACAGCTTTTACTGTGAATTACTGGATAAGTGAACCACGAAAGAGCCGCAAGCAAAATGCAAATCCCATAAACAGCCTCTCTTGCCTTTTTTATTGGTTGCCTCCAGATAATTATATATTTGAACTGAGTGAATTCATCTATTACAATATACTATAGTTTTCATCTACTGAGTATTTAAAAAAAAAAACAGAAGGAACGTGGGAGTCGCTTCTGGGGACGCGACTCTTTTTTTATACCCGTACTCAGTTCAGTATATAAATTTGTATGTTTTAAAAAATTTTAGATTTTACATTTTTTTGCTGCATCTGTTATTTACAGCTACATCTAACATGTACATTTTACATATACCATTTATATTCTACATCTTCTCCGCTAGCGGCCCTCGCGCACTGAACGAGGCAGAGGTGCAAATGAGAAAGAGAATGAGTAGCTGGTCTCTTGCTGCAAGAGGTGGGGGAAGCAACTGAAAATTAATTTATTTGTTATGGCTTTAATAATGACAGATTTTCGTTCTTTTTGATGGCGGAAAGGGCGGGGGGAAAATTTTGAAATACACTTGTAGCAGTGGGATACCACATGAGTCTGGAAACAAAATTTGTTTGCTCTAGCTCTTACAGTCTCTGAGATCTAGGCGCTCATCAAGACAGATATGGATGGATATATCGACTCCGCTATTGATGATGATCAAGAATATATATACCTTATGGGGTCGGAAACGTGTTCTTCTCTGCGTTGCACACATCCACTTCGAGCACAAATATAATATTTCCCTTAACTCTTCGAGTATAAAAAGGGTTTTTATTTTGACTATTTACTCAACTTACAACTCTAGCACTATAATTGGTGCTAATGTTGATTTTCGACAAGGCATTTTCCAGGGACAAAAACAGAAGTGGTTTTAGCGCTCAAAAAAAAAGGAGTCCAAATCGAATTGAACCTAGGTTGAACCTAAGTTGAACCTAACATATTTAAAAAAGAAAAATTAACGGTCAAACTCAAACTTTAATTTTTTTACCCTAAAAACCATCATACAAAATATAAATAAAATAGAAAAATATGCAAATTGATTTTTTTACTACAAATCTTAATTTTTTATAAATTGGTATTGAAATTATTGAAAAAACAATTGTTTATTGAATGAACAATTAAACGTAAACTAATTGAACTGACATGCTATCGATTTGTTTAAGTTTTTGCATCATTAAATAGAGATGCAATCGAAGCGTTTTTAAAAACTGTGCAAGAAAAGCCTTCCCAGCAAATGGCTAACACCAGTTCATAAGAAAAGCTACAAAATGAAATTTGTTCAACTTGCTGTAAGCTTCCCGGATGAAAGCCGTTCCGGACATAAAACTAGTATATTCCTCTGAAATGGTTGACCCATTTGAAAAAAGGGAAAATTGCTTCGTTAAATATGAAAATATTTAGTTAAATGCATATGCATATATGTATGTGTATAGCAAGGGGCTTGGCTAATCTAAAATTTACGTATTTATACCTTATGAATGTGTTTGTTAATTGTTAGCTAGTTAGAATTTGAAAAAAAGAGTATATTGAGCAACATCTCTGCAACGATCTCTAATGGCCGTTTAGTTAGCATGGGTTGGGATAAAAAATATCTTATATCTCCTAAAAGGTGCAATTGTGGTAATGGTTTTTTCTTTTGTTTGTTTGCTGAATATCGCAACTATTTTTTCGTGCAGTCCAATGCTTGGCCAAATATGGCCTTTTTTTCAATTTTTTTTTTTAATTTGTTCATTAAATTATGAAAAAAAAAATTTGCCTAGCCTGAGTACTTTTTAAGAAAAATGCATTAACCTTTGCCTTATAAGAACGGTTTTCTTCATACTTAAAAAAAAAAAAACAAAAAATTTAACTTTGAACAACAACAACTGGGCAACAACTTTTCAAGCGGTAAAATGTGATTTTCAAAGAGTTGGTCAACCAATTTTAGATTCGCAGTCTCTCTATTGATTTTAATGAGCAATGCTTTGAACGACGCCGAATTAATGCACCTATACAGAAAAAAAGGGATAAAGGATATATTTTTTCTATTTTTATTGAGTTTATTAATTTAAAATTTCGTAAAAAAATACCTCACAAAAATCTTCATTTTTGTATTTGAAAGCTTATTTATAGCTGCATAAATTAGCTTTTCAGAATGGCAAAGTTCATTACAACCAAATGTAAGATACTTGAGTTGTTATTAAAAAAAAATTATGCATGGAAAAAAAAGTATCATCAAACAATTTCTAAGCCCAAAATCTTTCAGAAAATGTTGATTTGGTTTCTTGAGGAAAAATCGTATCGGGTAGTGCCATAGGTATTTTATTGTCGGAGAATCGACAATAGTTTCTACCTGTTTGAAATTCGCACTTACCTGATACCAACAAATAAGTTAATTATGTTAAATATCCAAATGTTTGTAACAAACATAAGAACGAATTGTAATATATTGCTGGCGAAAACACCGCAAAGTAAAACTTTCCGACGCCCAATGTCGTCGCTGATGTATCCCCATATATATGTAGAGAAAAACAGTCCTGTAAATTTATAAAAATTTTTCTTTTGGTGTGTAAATTATAATTTACTTTTGACTCACCAGCAACACACGCAGCCATCATCAGACCTTTTTCAGCTTGACTTGATCCAAATTCACATTGCGATGTGATTGCTATAATACTCATGGATTGTTGAGCAGCCACAGACGTAATCGTCAGTAAACCACTAATGATTAAAAGTAACCATTGAGTTTTGCCATAACCTGGTAACGGAGTCAACAATTTAGTCCAGTTAAATCGTCACAAATCGTAATTGAATACTTTACCGATCTTCTCTAATATCAAGTCATAGTCCCACAAATGTAAAGCCTGGGTATTACTCTGAAACGAGTTTTGCATCGTGGCATACCTAGCAATCACTTGTTGACTGAGCATTGCGCAATTGCTTCACCTTCTTTTATGCATTGTAGTCTAATGTCAAGAGCAACTTGAGTAAGGCAAACCCGTTTGGAAATACAAATTAAAATATTTTAATATAAACACATTCAACCAATGTTTATACAGAAAGCGGATCCCACAATATATATTCTAAGTTAGCTAATAACACTACTCAACAAAATTGAACTTTTTATTTCTGCTGTGGAACAAAATAATTTTTCTGATAGATTTCGGGATTTAAAAAGTTTTGTAGTACTTTGTTTTTTTATGGTTTAATTTTTTTTTTCAAGAATTTTTTAAATCTTTTATTCTTGATCTTGAATTTGAAAGCTTAATATCTTCCAGGCGTTAAGCTGCAGCTACAAAGTGTCTGGGTCGGATTTATAGCTACATTTGTCAGTTTTTCATATAATATAAGATACTTAAGTTATGTGAAAAATAGAAGCACTACCTCTGAAAAAAACATTAAAAAATTTCCAGATTTTTTAAAATTCTTAACAAAAAAATTAACCATAATAAAAAACCATAATTCGTTAAAAATTTTGAGACCTCTAAATCTATAAGAAAAATTCATTTTGGGCCACAGCGTTAATGTCGTGTTGACTAGTGTAATCGGTACAGCTAGCTGGCTGATTGGTGTCTGCTTTCAGAAACTTTACGTTATGAGCTAGAGTAACCAAATCAAGTATACATACTTTTCCAATGCCCAAGTTCAAGTTTTTGTCAATTTTGTTGAATCAAGCTTACTAAATTTTGTGTTGTTCACAACGATCATTCGCTTTGCGGACGAGAAGTATTATTTTAGTACGATACAGCAGTTATTTTTATGGCAAGTACTCAAAGAGTACAGGGGTGTACTAGATTTTTTTAGATACATATTTATTTACATAAAATAACATAACATAAATAGGGATATATGAGCATTTTATGTATGCAAATATCTTATTGTTTATGTAATTTATACAAAATGATCGTGATTCTCATTCGCAGCAATACAGAGCGTGAGCGTGGGAGAATCAGCGGATAATATAATTTTTTAATATAATGCGCTTATAGTTTTCTCGTAAATGTGAACATATGTGTGGATGGCACATTTTTTGAGCGGTTATAAAGACGGAAAGACAGACAAATATGACTATAATCAACTCGTCTTTTGATGCTGATTAATTGAGGTTATATTTTGACATATCTTTTCAAACCCTTACGTTTGATTTCCGTCTTTTTTTTGTGAATTGCTACCTATATAATTACTATTAAAATGGTAATTTGATTTGTTTTCAAAATTGAACTGTTTCATTTATTTATTTATTTAATTTAGATACATCTAAAACACCTTAAACATAAATATAATACATATTTGGCCAAATAATAAAGTTAAATACTAGCCTATATATGTGGTATTTGGTGAGGAGCCACAAAAAGAGCAGAGTCTGTTAAGCTAACAGAGCCCGTAACAGACAGAGAGCAGGAAACGCAAGAGTTTGTGGATGGTCAGCAACGTGCAGTAGGCAGGATCGTTGGCGGTGGACATCTGGACAAAGCAGAAAGCGTGGATCAGAGAAAGTAGCTGGCAGACCGCAAGTGCGTGGCGTTGGAAAAAGTCAGGGAGCATAATTTCTGCGAGACAAGTCTGTTCCCGAATTTCGGCTGTCAAAGAGGAATCGACGAACAACTTGGAGAAGCAGACAGATACAAATTTTGTTGTTGTATTGGGAGAGTAACAGATTGCATTTGGCAATCGTGTTGTTTAACAGAGGCATTTAACATAGTGTTAGGTTGCAGTTTTCAGGTGTAAGCTCGTCAGTGGATAGAAGAACTAGAAGAGTGTGCGCTGACGGTGGAATGGAACTAATTGCAGGTGTTCATTTATGCAAAACAATTGCTCAGCGCAATATTCGTGATTGGAATGCTTTGAAGAGTGCATTGATCAACGAATTTGGTGTGAGGGTGTCATCAGCGGAGGTACATCGTAGCCTAGGGAAGCGGCAGAACGAAACGTTGCAAGACTATCTATACGGTGTTGACAAAGCCGATCGATATGGAGGACGAAAGCTTAATCGAATACTTTGTTAACGGAATTCCAGATTCTTTTAGATTCAACCAGCTAGGACATAGAGCTGCTCAATGCGAAGTCGAGATGACAATTAAACAGGAAAGGCAATCAATCTAGTTATGGAGAAAAGTGGAAATCCATCAAATACGTTAATTTCTTCAAGACTGGAGTTGAAATCGATAACGTACGGAAAATAAGCGTTTAAACTTTAAAGGATTGGTCGATACAGGGTTTTTTTAAAGTTGGTAGAGAAAAACTGGCAGGACACGAAACATGGCTATCGGGGAATTAGTGCTAACCAAATTAAGACTTTGGGCAGTATCACCATACCTGTGCAGATTGATGGCATTGACATAACAGTATAGTTTCATGTAATTGCGGACAAAGACATGGCATTTGATGCTATATTGGGTAGAACTCTTCTGGACAGCGTGGATATGATGGTGACAAGGGAAGGAATAGCACTAAGGCTTAGATCAGGAGACAAAGTGGGTACAACAGCATGGAGATGAAAAGGTCGATGTTAATTCGTGCACGGCGCTGCCAACTGAATTTCGTAGTTCGGGTAAGGTGAGCTTAGAGCGGAGTGAAGCCATAGAGGTTGATGAGCTGCATTCTCCATATTTGCAGAGAGGCCAAATAAGGGAGGTGAAGAAAACACAGGAGTTGAAAGATAAAGTACCAAGCGTGGTGGGCAGTTGCGGGAAGAGTATCTTAGCTAATACCAAAGCGGGTAGGCAGGAAAGGTATTTGACTCCCATTGACAAGGGTGAACCTTTAGGGATTTATAACATAGGCCACGTCGGGTTAATGGAGATTGGGGAGAAAAGATATAAAAAGATAAAGGATGAAAAGGAGAACAAGCTCAGTGACTTAAAGGAGATCGGTCGGACCCAAGATGGTGTAGGTTTGAAGTTGAAGGGAAAGTTTTTAGGTCCCTACAAAGTGGACAAGCTTCGCAAGCATGGCCGTTATAAGGAAGAGCGAGTGGGTGAAGGAGAAGGCCCTGTTAAGACCTCTACGATAGCGAAAGTTATGATGGAGTTCGGGTCGAACTTAACGTCAGGAGGGCCGATTGTGGGATTTGGGGAGAAGCCCCAGAGCCACGCTGCTGCCGCTTTATCACATTTCGTTTTTTTTTTGTCTACTAGTACTGCAAGTGTAGTGATCAGACAATTTTTTTGTTAACTACTGCTTCGACCTATGAAATTTTAATAAGCAGAATAATAAAACATATAGCTTATGTTCAATCACTGATAATGTTTAATGTGGTATGATATTAGTATAGAACCGATCAGATATCATCATTTCTTGTATTCTGATTTTTTCTGAGTTAAGTTAATTTGTATTTTATTAGAAATTTTTTTTCATATATGTATGTATATTTATTTATTTAATAAATTTATTTCTAATCAAACTTCAAATAAACAAAAAAAAAAAGAACAAAAAAAGCTAATTCCCATTTGACCGATATCGATATCAATATCGGCCAGGGAAAAAATGTCATCTGTTCTTAACTCACCGATATTTTTTTACTTTTGGGTATAATATAATCCGATTACCAAAACGATGGCATATTTAACTAAAATATATTCATTTCCAAACCAAACAAACGTTTTTTTAAAGACAAATATCGCAATACAATTTGGGAATGAAGCACTATCGATAGGAAAAGTCACGAAAAACGGAGCGCATATAATTTCAAAAATGTTCAAAAACCGAAGCAGAGCGGAATTTGAATTTGTACCACGTGGGACTGGCAGTTATTGCTTTGGCAGAGGATCAAAATGTTTGCTTTATATTGGAGGCCTTTAGAAATAAATTTATTAAATATATTTAGATATACGAAAATTAATTTTTATTATATAAATATAAACTTAAAACATCATACAGGTTTTTATTTAGGTTCTTAGTGCAATTTGTTTTGAAATCACGAGCTCAATTCAAATCGTAAAAATCTTGAGATTTACGAAAACCGGTGCACGTCTTTTTTGCGATTTGAATGTCATATCGTAACTTTTTGCGATTTGCGATAACCGAAGCATGGCTGTATATTTTTTATTGATTGTTTTTTAAGTTACTTTCCATGTCCATGTCCATTATGATGGTCGCCGGCATTCGCAAGGGTATTCCAATCATTGCCAATAAAATAATGTTATAATTCAATTTTTAAGCAAAAAAAACACATCTTAGTGAGCATATATGTAAGTAACTGGCACTTTTCATAAGGGAAAATATTACTGATTTGAACAGTAGTCTTAATACCAAGGGATTTATGTCATTGTTCGGATCAGTGTATCTGTGTTTCCCATTATTATATCAAATTCCAACCGTTCCCAAAAAAAAAGTTTTCTTTCTGAATACCCAAACGAATTTTTGAAGCTTGTGCTACACCTTAATAATATTGGTACACCATACTATTTATATAAATAATAATACCAACTATAACTATAAATATCTAATATAAATGACACGGTGAATGCCATTAATATTTCGTAAACTAAAATATCGATTTACGATATTGTGTGTTCTATCGGTTACTCCATTAATCGCGTCATGTGAGTTTCGATGTATCGATATGTGCTATTATAATTCCAACAACAATTTATTTACCCATTTTTGCGTTACAAAGTGAGCTCCAATTGGATTTTTATAATTCCAATTCCCAATACAATTGGGAAAAATCCATACCGTTTGTCCGCAATTGGGAAAAACCCCATACCGTTTGACCGAAATTTGGAAAAATCGAATTGGGCATTTCATTATCAAAGGGAGAAATTTCATATAATTGTAAATATATATTTAATTTACATATATGGCTGATTTTCAAGAACAGCTAAAACAATATCGCCTTCAGAAGCGAAGGAAAAAAACGCTTGAAAACTTAAAAGACAAATTTCACAGATTTTGGATGTTCGGCACAGGGTCTAGTAATGAAACTAAAATCGACTTGCAACAGGTACGTACACGTATATAAGTGCATACGTATGTATGTTTCCACATATGCATATAAATCGGAGATTCTGTTAATTTCACACATTTTTTGTTGTAGCCTTCAAGCAACAACCAAGAATTGTTCCTTGAAAAGTCGCACGATGACTCTCTGTCCTCCAGTGCGGATGAATTGGTGGAAGAAAGCAACATTGTTCCCGAAACCCATGACCATACAGACGGAAACGTACTCAAGTACACTCTTTGGACTGTATATCTTCTTTTTTGGATAACTCTCTATGTAATAGCCATTGAACTGAAGTTTGGATTGGTTTATCTTATGTTTTCTGCCCTGTTTGGTATTTACTTTAATACGAGAACGGGACCAAAAAAACAAAACGAGATTAGCGCATACAGTGTTTTTAACAAGAATTTTGAGAGTATAGATGGTACACTGAAGGCAGAGCAATTTGAACGTGAAATTCGATACGGCTCAGGAAGTGTAAAATAAATTAAATCTTTTATATAGTGCCTAAGCTTTTTTAGATCAATATTAATAGAGTATACAAAATATGACAATTAAAAACAATTCGAAGTGTGTTATACGAGAACAGATACATTTGCGCTGCTGGCGAGCGAGTTATGTAATTGGATGGTTTTTTCAAAGAAACAGCAACAATTTGTAACTTGGTTTTTTTTTTTAATTTTTAAATTTTTGACTTTTTTTTCGTGGAGACTCTTTTATTAGTCTCTGGTCCGTTCTGCTGTCGACAATCGAATGAATGTCAGAAGTTGAACACCTGGACTTCTTCCTTTTTCTTCTTCTCTCTCTCCTTTTCTCCATTCCTTCTTATGTCATCGGTGTCTCCGTTTTGGCTTTATGTATGTCTATTGTTTAGGCAACTCTAGTCAATTGTTTAGGCAACTCTAGCCAACAACTTTACAGTGGGGTCTTCTTATAGTGTCCTCGTTGGACATTAGCTTAGAAGGTATTGGCTGGAGACATCTCGGGAAGAGTGTAGCATGTAACTCCTCCCCCCCTGGATTGAAGAGACGGCCAGAGGGAACGAATGGTCGGAACGAAAACTTGAACTTTCCTTTAGTTTCAATACGATGTTGTTTCTTTTGAAGATTATGATTAGCGATTCTCCCAATGTGATAGTGTCGAGACCAATATGAATATATAAATAGATAAATATATATTTTTAATTAATAATATTTATTTGGTTAGTTTAATGTTTAAATGTAAGAATTCATTAATGTTCAGGGAACCTAATATGATATGGGTTAGTAAGTGTATGTTTACATCGATCTTCTGTGTAATAATTCTGTATATGTTTTGTATGTTTATATGATTATGTATTATTTTTTTTTTTGTTCAATCGTTTAACTTTTGATTTGTGTAATTTTTGTTTTTTATTCGTTATTAATGTCGGTCCTTTGTCTTCTAATACTAAGTGTTTGGTAAATCTGGGAGTCAATTTGTTTCTTCGGTTTTCTTTCCTGAAAATTATGTCATTTTCTTGTGTCGGTATCGGTTCATTCCTTTCATTATTTAGTTTCTGTGTTCTATTATTTTTTTTTGTCTGATTATCCTGCTGGACCTTATTGTAAAGTTTTTCCCTAAATTCATTTAGTTCGCTAAGGAATTCGTGTTCGTTATTGAATTTAATTTCCCTGTTGAATGTATGTGTCCGTCCGGTAAATAATTCGTATGGTGTCATTTTTGTTGCTGAGTGAATCGCATTATTATAGGTAATAAACGTTTCATTAAGTATATCTTCATGATCTATAGTTAGCTTCTTGTTTTTCTTGTTGGCTAAAATAATCCTATAAATTTCTGTTAATGAGGAATGTAGTCTCTCTACTGGAGAATTACTCGATGATTGTTGAAATGAAGTAACATGAAGCTGTATATTATATTGGTCACAGAAATCCCTAAAGATTTTTCCAGAAAATTCTGCACCTTGGTCACAGACAAGTTTTTCTGGAATTCCGTGTGTAGTAAGAAAATTCCTAAGTGCTCTTGTTACATTTGGACAGTCCCTGGCAGGTATAGTGTATCCAGTAGCAAACTTTGAAAATTTATCTATTACTGTTAAAATAATTTTTCCGTTAATAAAATAAAGGTCAATGTGAACTATTGCTAACGGGTATGGAGGCGATTCAGTTTCCTGATATTTGATTTTTTGAGGTCTTCTGTCGTATTTGAGTGTTTGACAAAGCTCACAATTATTAATTATTTGTGAGATTTTTTGTTTCATTTGCGGGAAATAAATTGTTCTTTTAATATGATTATATGTTTCTTCAATGCCTCTGTGATTAGAATTTGTGTGATATTTCTTTATTTCTAATTCTTGTTCCTCAGTTGAACTTATATCTTTCAGCATATATTTACATCGAACTAATTTATACAAATCTGTACTTGCGAAATATTTTGTATATGCTTCTTTAATTAACTCAAATTCCATATCAGAAACTAATATTGCGTAAATTCTGTTAGCTTTTAAAATGTCTTTTAATATCTTTACAAATTTTTCTATGGTATAATTTTGTTCTGTAAATATTCTTCGTATTTTGTTTTTAAAAGGTGTCACAAATTCTACTTTTGAATTTTGATCAGTCTTAAAAATTATTTGGATGTTGAACTCGTTCAATGGGCTATCAGATACTTTTATTTCGTTTAATTTTTTATCTGTATCTGATCTATGCATATTAATGTCTATTGATACACGACTTAATGCGTCGGCGACTGTGTTTTGTGACCCTTTCGTATATTCTATTTCATAATCGTATTCTAGAAGTTTTAGTTTCCAACGAACTAATTTCGAGTTTGGTTCTTTAAAATTCATTAACCATGTTAATGGTCTATGATCCGTCCTTATAGTTAACTTTTGGCCGAAAAGATATGGTCTGAAGTATTTAGTAGCCCATATTATAGCTAGCATTTCCTTTTCTACCGTGGAATAATTTAATTCAGTATCTGACAAGGTCCTGCTAGCAAAAGACACCGGTCTATCTGATCCTATGCCACCCTGTGACAATACGGCACCAATGGCTACGTTACTAGCATCCGTAGTCAATATAAATGGTTTAGTGAAATCTGGGTAACGCAGGATTGGGTCATTGCATAGCAAGGTCTTACATTTTTTGAAAGCTCTTTCATATTCCTCATCGATTTTTACTGCTGCTTTTCCTTTTAATTTTTGGGTCAGTGGTTTTGTTATCTTCGCAAAGTCCTGAATAAATTTTCTGTAATAACCCAGTAGGCCAAGAAATGACTTTATTTCCTTTCTTGTTTTTGGCATTGGAAATGCTTTTATGGTTTCGATTTTTTTTGGGTTGGGTTTAACACCTTCATTCGAAACAATGTGTCCCAGATATTCTATATCTTTTTTAAAGAACTCGGACTTATTTGGTTGGAGTTTAAACCCGGCTTTGGATAATTTTTCGAATATCTGCCCTAAGTGTGTATTATGTTCCTGTAACGAAGGTGAAAAAACTATTATATCGTCTAGATAAACCAGACAGCATTTTCCATTTAGATCTGCTAGGACATTATCCATTACTCTTTGGAACGTGGCTGGGGCGTTAGTCAAGCCGAATGGCATACGAATGAATTCGAAATGTCCGCCTTCTGCTGAGAAAGCGGTTTTTATCGTATCTGTAGGTTCCATTTCCACTTGATGGTACCCGCTAGCTAGATCTAGTGCCGTAAAATATTTTGCTCTACCGATCTTATCTAAAACTTCATTAATGTTAGGCATTGGGTATTTGTCTTTAACAGTTTTTTCGTTTAATTTTCTGTAATCTACCACTAATCTCCACTTCTTTTTGTTTGATGCATCCATCTTTTTTGATACTAGAAACACGGGAGCGCTCCAGGGACTGTGACTATGTTTGATAATATTTTGGTCTAACAGTTTATTTATATGATTTTTTATTTCTTGGGATTCAATTCGACTATATCTAAAAGGTTTTGTATATATTGGAATTTAATCTTATGTTTGACTAGATTTGTGAATGAGAGATGATCGTTTTCTTCATAAAACAAATTTGGGAATTGTTTGCAAAGATTTTTTAAGGTTGATCTTTCTTCGTCATTAAGGTGTTCTGTCCTTAACAGTTTAAAGTTATCATTTTTGTCACCATTGTTTGGTGCTATTATATTTGGTAGGGGATTTGATTCCAAGTAATCAGATTCAAGGAATTCGTCTACTTTTAATTGTGAATCTAGAAATAATTTTTGCTTCTGTTCTGAATAGTTCACTACTTCCATTAGACTATGTCCATTCTCTGCTCTATATAACCCTCCGTTGATGATTAAATTTTCGCTAATTTTTATGCTGTCGCAGATAAACACACCATTAGGAATACTAACTGACAATCGAACAAGAGTCTTTGATTCTTCATCGATTATATGTAGTTCAGTAGCTGAATTAAATTGTTGATGTAAAGTGATTTCGAAATTTTTTGTTCGTAAAGTTTGTTTTGGAATGTTAACGATGGCTCCCACTTGTTTTAAAATATCCATTCCGATTAATCCATGAAAATATTCATGAAAGTGGAATAGCATTAATTGGAATTGTTGTCTGTCATTAAATTCGTTAAAAAGTGGAATGTAAGTTTTCTTACGTATATAATGTGTATTGAGAATTGTTTTTATGGTTACTGGAATATTGAGTTCTATATGATCATGGTTCGGTATTAATGATGGGTCAATAAATGAAATAGATGCGCCAGTATCTATTAAAAATCGAAGTGGTTCTTTGGATTGGCAAAGTTTTATTAAAATATATGGTAGATTAGGGCCATGATCATTTTTGTTTATGTATCCTGTCTGGGATGTGAGGCTTTTTCTCGAAAATTTGCGCCATCATCTATATTGTGAAGGTGTTCAGTTGCTTGCTGTGCATGTCCTAAAGTTTGAATATTATTTATATTATACCTAAATCTATTGTTAGGGTTACTTCCCTGTGGTGCAACTCCTTGATTGGGCATAATTGTTGGTCTATTTATATTTTCTTGTAGGTTTGTACTATATCTATTGTAGTTGTGAGGTGAGTAACGGTTGTCATAGTTCTTGTGGTTGTAGTCTACATATTTTCTTTGCGAATTTCCTCGATAATATCTATCCTGTTCGTATTCTCCATTGGAATATCTTGAATATCTTTCGTTTGGACGAAAATTGTTTACGCGTCGCGTCATGTTATTCTCCTGTCTAATGTTATTGCCCTGCAGAAATATATTTCTTTCTTGAATAGCCCATTCATAGGCTTCTTGTAGATTAGTAGGCTTTATAGCTCGAATTGTTCCACCCAGCTGTCCCCTCATGCCTGATAAAAAAGTCTTTAAGCAGCTTCCTGCGAATATGGATTTCTTTGTCTTAATAATGTCAGGGTCAGTCTCTTTAGCGTCCGTGTATTTAAATAAGGTTGACTTAATTTCTGTAATTTGGTCGAATAGTTTTTGTACTGACAATTGCTTTTGGACTAGTCCGTGTAGTTCAATCAAAAGTGTTTGTTCATCTCTTTTGTCAGAGCAGTGTATGATCAAGGCTTCCTTGATCTCATTCCAATTGAGTCC